AGACGTGGTTTGGACTTGTATATGTGCGATACTCAGTAGAAGAAAAATGTGTCCAAAAAATTGCATAGAGTGACGACATTCTTCGGGTATAATCGTGAACATGTCTTATTTTAAGGTGCATAAGAGTACGAACTATGCAAATATTATCCACTTGTGACCAGTCGTGAACTGTGCACGAAAACATATATGTGATGTTTCTGCCGCGTGACCGCTAATGAAACTCGAGAAGCATGTAGTGACCGCGCGTGGATTTTCGCGTTCATATTTCTGTAAAAGAGTTTCACTTGCGAACACGCGTCGGGATGTCTAGAACGAATTTTATCATAAAAGGTAGCATTTCACATTAATCCACGTGTAATTTTTTGTGTATATAGGAAATAACTTCATGAAAAAATTACACATGGATTAACGTGAAGTGCTACTTTTTGTAATAAAATTCGTTCTAGACATTCTGATGCGTGTTCGCCAGTGAAACTTTTTACTATAGACTGAATATATTTTCTGTAGGAATATGTCTAGGAATCATCTTGTTCCCCGGGAGGAAGTATTAACTAAAAACAGTTTCGAAACTAGGAAAAAAGGTTTAGGAAGTTTCACGAGTAACCACGCGTGGGAAACTTTTTATACGTAGTAACTTGTGAGGACTGATCCGACAAGTATGAATATGAGATTTATTCATTAGTTTCTTAGGCAAGCTAGCTCAATAGTAGTATCGTAGTTTTCTAATTTAAAGTACCCTGGTTCGACTCTTACTTTGTGGTGATATATATAAAATGTGATATTTTAGAAACTAGTGGTCACACGTGGAAAAAGTTATAGATGAAGTTGCGTTGAGGAAGATTTCGTTATACCTTGACCATAGTCACAATGGTCAAGAGTTTTTCACACATAATCATGCGTGGAGGGATTCACATGTGTACACAAGTGAACAATCTCCACTCGTGAACACGCGTTTGATGTTGCAAGTGCATGATCCCGAAGTCGTGAAACTTGCTGTCTGTACCTCTCAAATTTTGTGAAATTTCAAGCAGAAGTTCAATGACCCTCACACGTGAAATATCGATAAAATTTCCCCATGGGTAATGTACTTTACTTGCGCCTATTTCATGTGTTTTATACCGTGACACATTCTTAGCGTCTTTTTTAGAGGACACTTTCGCCGTGTCACTGGGCGGAGCACATTTACAAAAAAATTTCTCCATCGAGTTTATCGATTTTTTGTTACCTTTCGTCTTCATAGTTTGATATTGTACGAATTTAATCTTCTACTATACTCTATGGCAGTTGATCTTGTGCGAGTGACTAGACGCAACGCAACATCAAGTCTCCAGTCGGAGAAAAACAGACATAAGTTGTATGTAGTACAAGTTGCAGCTGAGAAAAACTTACAGGAGTTTACGAACTCATCGAAGTTCAAACAATACAACAAGATGTTGAGAAAAATGCTGAAAATTTATAAGAAAATCTGCGTCACCCACATAGTTAAGCTATCGGTAAAGCAAATCAGGTAAATGTGGCATCTCTCGCACCACTCGATCCATATATCTCAAACAAAGACGTAAAGGCAATAGACATTTCTACTTGTTAACTTGTCGTAAACGCTGCGTTGGATATTTTTGTTATGATTCAAATGAAAAATTGCAGTCATATATCAAACAAATTAAAGTATAAATTTGAAAAGAATGACACAGAAATTACTCGTCTATGTTCAACGAGACAGAAATATTCATAATACGGTTTTCAGATCCAGACTATTTTCATCGATGATGATGAGATAGATGTTTTCACGTTGACTCGCATATAATCCTGACAATGTTATACGTACAAATAAATCACTACCTCATGTTTATGTATTGTATCTTTTCTAGTCACAGTGCGAGGCAAAAGTAGTAGTGATAGATTTCAAGGAATTCTTATGATGGCACGTGATTTAGAAAATAATGTGATTGGAACGTGGGACGTGACAAATACCGCAGTAAAAACAGTCACTTGTGGAAAGGTAAACGACTTGCTTAATAGATTTAATATACGTTGATTTCAACATATTATCGGAGAAACTATATCTGTATTAAGGGAGGAGGTATAACTCACACCTCTAGCGATGATAAAGTTAGTATTAGTGCGATCTGGCATTCACCGAACTCAAGTGCTGGTGTGATTTTAATCAAGTACGTATAGTCTATGCACCTTAAAATAAGACATGTTCACGATTATACCCGAAGAATGTCGTCACTCTATGCAATTTTTTGGACACATTTTTCTTCTACTGAGTATCGCACATATACAAGTCCAAACCACGTCTACATGAATGTTCGTATCCAAAAATGCAAGAAAATTATCGTTCTCAAATAAATAAAAAACTGTGTCCAGAAAATGTTTGTTACGCTGTTCATTTATACGATTATCTCAAATAAAACACTGAATATAAGTTTATAGATAACACAGTTTGTCTTAAAATTATATACGTTTCGTACTAGAAAATTTTTCGTTAATCTTCTGTATTTATTCTTTTTACCTAAAATTGAATCACTGGGATCATACGATGAATGTTCTGGTTCTATAATGTAGGAGTTGGTACATGTCGTTGAAGGAACACCATGCTCTGGTGTCATCGAATCACATGCTGAAGATGGAGCACCGCCAGGTAAGGTTTCAACATTTGGTAGATTTGATTGAAAAATAAGAAATATGAGGTTAAGCATATAAAACGACTGCATCTAAAAGAAAACACAAAAGAAAAAGATGTCAAACCTTCTTTTGTGCAAAAAACTTCGAGAAAAATGACAGCTCCAGAGTATACCGAAGATCTTTTCAAAGCAAGTTGTAGTAGAATACACGATATCTTCATGATATCCAACAACTTTCAGTGTAAATCCAAAACAGAGTTTCAATAGGTGACTAACGGTGACAAGGACTATCTGCAATCCGATGATAATTTTGTGTTACAGTATCCCATTTACCATTTAGGTATTTTACTATTAAGGTTAATGATGACCTATTGTGCATGAACTAGTGTCAAGGCTGACTGATCATGATCCTGACATTATTAATCGTATTTTAATCACTCATCCGTGACGATGACTTACACTGAACTTGTACATCTTAATAAGTGAAAGAATGCTCTAAAATTATTACAGTGAAAATGTTATCATATTAACTTGCTTTATTATAACAATAGTACGCTGATGAGAACTATCTAATATTCCTGATAAAATTGATACCGTTACAAGCAAAAAACATTTATATCTGAAGATACTTATTATTTGTCCTTTCAGCATCATATAACATGTTTATAAGATGTTCAGTTATGATATCAGAATACTCAAAAGACTTCTTGTTGATTAAGATAATGTCATGTTGTTCTACTCTTTTACTTAATATATATAAGAAAAACTTGATCAGAAAAAAAGAAAAAATGTTTAGTAATCGGTATCATCAATAATATTAGGCAGACTGATCTCAGTCGAGTGACATCAAAAAATAGTAAAAGGAGCTGCCTTTTAGAATTTTAATAACTAAGTATAAATATAAAAGCAGCTGCTGTTTCTGTGTTATCAATTCTAAAATTTCTACCCCTGAACAAGTATAGTGTTTCAAAGTTGGTAAATATTAAATAATAAAATGAGATTTCTAAGCATTTTTGAAAATATCGTGACTGTTATTTTCATCAATCCTAGCAACGTTTGTGGCAGCTTGTTGTTATATGGTAATAAGGGGTAATAAATATCTTAATATCTGGCCAGGCTACAAAATGTGAACCTACACAAACTGTAAATATCTAAATGAGAACTTGTTGGGTGGATAGGACTTTTAATTTGAAGTGCTCGCAGTAAACACACACACTTTCTACATATAACGGTCGTAATTACTATAACTCGATCGGTGTTTTCCTAATTTTTACAACTAAAATAATGACTCGTGCTGAGTGTTGTTTGCACTTATTAAAGAGCAAAGAAATGAACTTTTCTCATTTTAATTATTTTAAACGTTTTTATTTTGTTGAGACATGAAAAATGTACACCACAGAGTAAACGCTACACTCCGAGATGAAAACCACTAAAATGTTAGTAGTTAGTATTTCTGCAACGTTTTCTACTTCAGATACAATTCATAATAAGCAACACATCAATTTTTCTAAAGAGAAAAAACATCTTTCCAACAAGAAAAAACAAACTGTGACAAACGGCAAATTATTTTATCGAATGCGGAGACCAAAACATTGATTGAGGAAAACAAGTTGAGATCGATAAAATTGATGAACAGATAAATAAATTTAAGCTAAAACTACTACAATCACGCCGTAATATGAGAGTACGGTGTCTAAAATTGAAAAACTTGGTTTTTGCGACGTTTTTTAGTATTTTCCCTATAACTCGACCAGGAACGGTCTCAAACAAATTTTCGAAAAATGACCTCTGCGGAATGATCTTGAGTACCTATAGTAAAATTTTGAAGTCGATCGGATGAAATTTAAGGACCGTCGTAATGTGGCACAATGAAAAACCGAGTTTTCTGAAAAGCTAGTGACCGGCAATAGTTGAAAACTTGAAACAAAAACGAAAAAGTACTCCATTAAGTTTCCAATCAGTTCTGAAAATACAAAGCCCTAGAGACTTTTAGTAGAGAGAGAAGGATTTTACAAGTAATAACTCGAATATCCTAGAAAGCGTTTTCTAAAACAAAAAATAGTCTTTCCCGATGAATGTTAGGCACAATGAGTTACGGAAATGAAAAAATCTTTTTGCCTCCAAGTCTTACAGGTAAGGAGTATGTAACGGTCAAAAACCGCTTCTGACGCGGACAATGAAGTAAGCACAAAAAACTGCCTATACGAAATGGTTTTGGCACCTTTGAGTTGCATACTCTACGATATTTTTGAATATCACTTGACCGATTGTGCGTTGATAGCGGCCAACTTAATTATTTGTTCTTTTAGGTAATAATAACGTGTAATTAAAGTATCGGTGTTATTTCCATTTTAAAACGCTAGCAGATAGAAACATAATTATTATCTAAAAACATAAAGAATTTTACGAAGAGTTAGAGCTCATTCCGTCTGGTGGTAAGAAAATCGACTTTTTTATTTCTAACATAAAAGAAAGATTATTTTGTACATCACTGCAGCTTCTCAACAATCGAACGAAATTACTAATGTTTCATCATCAAGTGAAGACAATGATACTGATCTCGATGAATTATTTCGAGTCAGCAATATTAATTATCAACGTAAAATTTATACTGATAGTTGTTTGTCAATACGCGATACATGTGAAATAATTATTAAATGGGCTCGTCGATTAAATCTTGACAAAACTAAAACAAAAATTTTATTAAATGATATACGTTCCTTATTACCACACAACAACAAGCTGCCACGAACGTTGCTAGGATTGATGAAAATTCTTGGTTAGTAACGTTTAATTTGTTATCGCAAAACTAGCATACTTACATGTCGTTCAGGTAGTAATAATAATCAAAAAGTTGCTTATTATTGTGCTGAATGTCTCACCTGTTTAAAGACACCTCAACAAACGACTGTTCACCAGATCTAAATAATAATTACCGTCCTTTTTCAAACGTTAGCGAATTAGCAATTAATGACGTTAAAATTGAAATTCGCAGCAACATCAAAAAGTATGCAAAAAATTAGTGATTATCGAAACCAATCCAAGGAATTATTACCATGTGATGTAACAAGTGCTGATTTATATCAAACCATATCTTCAACAACATCCATCGAAAATAATCAAAATCAAATCATCACCCTATTGCATACAGAGGGTGCTCCCGTTGCTAAAGTGAATGATAAATCTTTGTGGCCCATTCAAGCAACCTTATACGAAATTGCACCATCACTTAGAGATCATAAACAAGCCATTATGATATTTGGAGCTTGGCTTGGAATTCGTCATCCTGATAGAAATTTTTTATGGAGAAGTATCGTTAATCAAATTCAACAGTTATTCAAAGATGAAATTATACTTACAATCAACAAAAATCACATTAAATCTATTGTTAAGACACAATTAATAATATTTGATCTTCCAGCACTTGCATTGAATTGTAACGTTATACAATACAATGGATATAATAGTTGCCCATTCTATTCAATAACAGGTAAATTGATCGATAAACAAGTGCTGTATCCACATTCATCTACTCCATGCCCATATAAAACAACTGATGATTATCGAAGATATGAATTATCGAGTTCTTATTCAGTTACAACTATGGGTATTAAAGGGCCAACGCCATTGTCCGATGTACTTTTTTCAATTCAAATTGCCGTCGACTACATGCATTTGACTTGTAGCGGCCATGTAAAGACTTTATTCGGATACTGGCACAAGATGCCACGTGTGTTTCAAGAAGCGCCAGATTATTACCCCTTAATTAACGATTGTATTACCCCTTAATTTTTAATCATTAGCTTTTGCCTTTAATTGATTATAATAAATGGAAACAAAACTCTTCAGATAAGTACCTTTTTCTAGTGTGGACAATATTGATTTATTTTTCGACGAGCATCGCAAAGACCTATCTACATTGTATGGTCCAAAATCCAAATTATTTAGTGTTTACTTACATTCTCATTTAAAAGAACAAGTAATTCATCGTGGTGCTTTATCGATGATATCATGCTTTCCACGTGAATCCTATTTGGGATGAGCATTAACTATGTGTCATTGTAAAAAATATGTTCTTAAACAGTATATTTCATGGCATTTGATTAATCGTTCTTTATACGAAAAGAACTCCATCGAAGTTAATGATAGTTTTGTTACTGAACTATTCAATGAACGCGTTTGTGATGCAAAGATTATTGCAAAATATAAAATGAAATTAACCAAATATTTGGCAAAAAAAATGTTATTCGATCCTTAGAAATCCATTATTATTCATGATACTGTCGTGGTTTTAAAAATTATCATTCAAAGGTGTATTCTCGTGTTGGAAAAGCGATTAGCTGCAGAGTGACTGTTGTCAATGCCGAATGTACACAGGCAAGGAAAAGATGTTTTGCAGAAGTCATCTTTTAGTTTAAATTGTCCAATATATATTATGTATTTATTGAAAAGTATCCATGTATGGATCTCAGTTTATCAGTCGGGTTAACAACAGTTGTTATTCCACAAAATATTCTTGAACAACTTGATCCTTATTTTGATTTATTTAATGCAACACAATATTCATATAAAAATAGCAAATAGCAAATAGCATTTCAACCATTCCAAAAACGCCTTTTCTTCCTTGGAAAAATGGATGATATCAAAAGGCGTGCGAGAATTGCGTCCAAGCGATGATTGGTCGAGGCATATTTTATACAAAATTGATCCAAAGTAAGAGACCGTTAAGGAGAAGGAAAAGGAATTATGCCGCATTTATGGATCAATAGGTGAAAGACCTGATATAAGCCATACAGATTCATACATATTTCGGCGATATTTCAGACAGAATGAGCTCTGGCTTTTTGTAAAATTGTTTATTCGTTTAGATAATAATTACGTTTGACTAAAGTGTCAATCTGTCTGCTAGTATATTAAAAAAGAAATAGCACCGGGACTTTAGTCAAATATTATTATTATCTAAAAGGACAAATAATTTTACGGAAAGTTAGAGCTCACTGCGTCTATCAGTAAAAAAGCAGATACATCGATCTAATTCTTACTATTTATACACTAGCAGTTAAATATAGCAGTAGTTAATAGTTTTCTACGTCTCAAAAAATACAGCCCTTCATTTTTCAAGAAAAACAGAAAGTAGATGCGTGTTGTAAACCTTAAAAACCAGAGTATGGTCCTTTAAGCGTGTATAAACCAGAGACATAGGAAGTACATAGAACTACGTAAAAAAATATATATAAAGTAAAATAAAGACATAATTAGACGACTAACATTGTTCTAACGAATAATCTTAAGCGTCTGGGCATGTGACCATTCTTCTAGTATTTGGAAAAAAGTTGTATACTAGTCACAAAGGAAATTTATTCATCCACTCATAAAAGCCTCGTAGCGGCCTTCTCTTTACTGAAAAGTCTTAATTTATATATACACCAAAACCATATGTGTCCTCAAAAACGGAGCTGATTAGCTCGTAAGCGTCCTTCTTCACTTGCACTCTTTCAAGCAATGTAGTCGAATATCTATATTTTCTGCGATATGTGCAATAAAAAGACAAGAACAAAAACTAAATATGTTAATTTGAATACTTTGAAAGTTTAATGCAGTGTAGATCATAATTTTTCTAGCTTAACCCAAATTTCTTTTGGTGCAATAATACTAGCAATTTCTTCAATATTAAAATTTGATTCTAATGTAGTCGTTTTTATAATTTTATATTCTTTCAATAGTTTTGTCAAAAGAATCTTCATTTCCATCAGTGCAAAACGCATTCCAACACAGTTACGTGGACCACAACCAAATGGCATATAGGCCATTGGATGACGATGTTTTACTAGATGACGTTCAGGTACAAATGAATAAACATCTTCAGGACCCCATAAATCTGAATCATAATGTATACTATAAACATCCGGTTGAATAATACAACCTGTATAAGAAATAAAATGAAAAACAATAAAATGAAAAATTAATCCGTGGAGCACCGAATTGAATTATGCTATTTTCATTAGAATGTTGTGGTAAAACCTTTCTCAGACATTTTCTAGCCCGTTCGGAAATAAATGTGTTTGCTCACAGACGCGAATTCTTTGCTTTGATCGTGAGCAGCTAAAGGAAAAGAAGAAAGAAGATCTCTTTGTTCGCTGCTTTTGCTGTCTTTAGGCTTTTATCCGCATATCATCTCTTTTTCAGCTCCTCTATTTAAAGCCACAGAGCTGGTCAGCTCCGGAGCTGGCCCGGCTCCTGGGAGCCGTCTCCGTTTATAAACAGCTGGACGGGAAGCGTTGAGTTCAGAGCCGGTGTGCGGATGATGTGCGCGTTCGATCAGGGTAAAAATGACACTCTTACGGCAGATACTTATATGAGTGTGTGCTGAAGACACGTTAATATATGCTGCCTCAGTCTTGACCTTCTTCTATTAAATGTAACGCTTGCGAAAGAAGATTTTTTATGTATATATCATGCAGTTATAGAGTATATTTGTACTTCAAAATGATTTTCATTTTCATATTTTCCCTAATTGAAAGCCTAGAAAATATAATCGAAAGAAAAATAAGGAAAGATGAACATCTTTTGGTGAGCCGGAGTCGGAACCGGACGTAAAAACTCTAGGAGAGGAGCCGGAGCTGGGGTGGAGCCGGAGGCGGGAGGGGTCGGAGCCGGGAGGGGTCGGAGCTGTCCGGCTCTGTATAGCCATCACGCAGTTTCGGTTAACCGACCTGATCAAAAAACCGAAACTGACTAATAACCCAACCAAGGATAAACCAAATCAAACAAAAAGTGATGATGTAATTTTCTTTCTATGTTTGCTTGAAACACACAATCGAATATGATGTTTAATTTAGTCCATAGTGAGTTTTGACTAGTTTTTTCAGAAAGCAAGAAACTCTTAAAGTCAAGGTCCTTGTTGTCTGCTACAATAAACTCTGAAAAATTTACGATATAAATCTCATGTTCATCATCAACATCGTTTATAACCTATGAAGATGTGTTTCAAGCAAAAAGAAAAAGAAAACTTACAACATCAGTTACAATTGAAATCAGATGGGTAGCTATTAAACAAATACAGTAAGATGTCTCTATTGTGAGCAAAGCTGGACCTGGACGAAAGTGTTCACTATGCGAAGTGCTCACCTTGAAGATGTTGCCATCTTTTTTCGCTCTGCAGTCGAAAACTCTTATTATTTAGCTGCAACGTAGCTCAGCTCTTGATGTTGGTGAGTTTGTGTGTGGCACTACTTTTCAAACTTACTCTTACTATCCTCAGCTATACAAGTCAGCAAAATTCGAGGAAAACATCTTTTGCTCTAAAAGCGAATAGAATTTTTAAGCATTGCCATACCTTTAGCTATCTTATGCCCACAAACTTCTGTATCTTTCTCACATTGACGATTCGTAGCTGCAATTCCAATTGGATACATTCGTAAAACTTCTTTAATAAATAAATCCATATATTCCATATTACTAACAATATCATAATCAGGCTGATTCCCATCTTTCTCGTTATTTTCCAAATACCTCTGAGTTTCACTTCGTAATTTCTCCTGAACTTCTGGATGCTGTGCTAAGATATACGTAGAATAGGCTAAACTCGTCGACGTTGTTTCATAGCCAGCAAGCATAAATAAAAAAACGTTGATTTTTACTTCAGTGTAAGTTAACTTTTTTGGTACAATTGATTCACGATCATTTTGTTGGAGATCCTAAATTTGAGAAACAACAAACAAGATGCACGTTTTTCTAATTCTGACAGTGTCACTTACAAGTGTTGCAGCCTTATTTTGCGTTGCTGCATCCAACATTAACTGTAGTAGATCAAGACGTTTCTTAGAATTTTCTGAACGCATTTCAATAATTTTATCAAGCTGTTCAATCAACCATACCGCAGCTTGTTGTTCGAAGTATTTTCTGGTGGATGGAAATAGTTTATTCGTTAACTTTGTAACAACATTTATTAAGTAAAATATGTGAAAGAATAGTGGTTTCAGTTCTGGTAGTAGAGCAGTAAATTTACCAATTGGACTTTTATTTAGATCAATTTCAAATATTTTTTCTATTTTCTTTAAATAAATATTTTCCAAATCATTTTGCATATTTGTATCAATACCAAAAGCGCATTTACCTGCGAAAAAGACAAAGATGAAGAGGAGAGGTAGTCTTTTCGATATTTAAAAGTGGCCGTGCCACAGTGGGCCGTTTTCTATAGAGCAGGCGGAAATTAAGTGTTTGTTGCACCGGTTAGTGCAAAAATAGATTTATATAGGTTATCGACCACGCTGAATCTAATGGAACAGTCCGAATCACACTAGGATTTTTCGCGAAGAAATGGTTCTTCCGAAAAACCGTGTTTTCCATTATTTTTCTTAGCGATCAGGGAAAAATATGAACAAAAGACTAACTGGAACGCTGATTCTGAATATGACCAAGAAAATATCAGGAAGTTCATTGATCAAATCTGAAATTTGCGAAATGCCGTATAAAATTGCATGAAGACGCCAGAAATCTCATGAAACTGTGAGAAAACCGTGGGGATGCTAGCCGTAGGTTTCCACCCAATGTTTCCCTTTCTCACCGCCTTGAGGTCTTGCCAAATCGAGAAGGTACGAGTTATGTTTACAAGATAAAGACTTTTGTCGTTTAGTAAACAACAAAAATTACTGAAATAGGCAACAGAAAAGATCAGAGTGCTAACCCAATCAACATAAGAAAACCGAAACTAAAGGGAAAAGGAAACAAAAACGAAGAAAAGCAACCTCTGTTTTTGTGCCACATTTCGCCACAATCTGAATCTATATCATCATAAGTTGATTCACGGTATTATTCGACTGCAAAAAATGCATCCGTTGCGGCGTCATCCTCATTGAGGCATGTGAGAGGTACTGAAGTCTCTTGTTTCTTTCGTTTTTGTACGTGTCTCATACAATATAGCGAATAATCGGTTCAGGTCTTATAAATAAACGGTTGAAAATATCACTCAGGTTTTCACAGTGGCCATATTTTCGGGACAAATGTTCTCTAAAGTTTCTGATGTCTTTGTTTGTGCGAACTTATACGAACTTTGAGAAATATTAATATCGGAGGCATGAGATTCCTCCATGTTATTAAACACTTAGAAAGAAAATTTCAAATATTTTCTTCGTCGATTTTTAAAATGAGGATTTATCAAAGATAGTTATTCTACATTCTTTGCTCATATGTGTCTGACAACGTGGAGGAAAAGAAACAAAAAAAACTGAAATCTATTTCTTCAAAGAGAGAGAAAACAACAAAAAACGGTTTTCTATTATCTCACATGATTCTCTTTTCTAGAATGTTCTTAGAGAGAGAAAGATAGTGAACGGCAGAACGGAACGGCAGAACGTGAACGGCAGAACGGGAAAATGGCAGGGAGAATTTTCCGGCTAACTTTTTTTCCCAAGGAAACGGCTTCAGACAAAACTTTTTTTGCCATTAGATAGCCCATTAGTTGAAGTATATCTTCACATTGATAGGGTGATTGGTATTAGAACGCATCCTCAGTCACGTTTAATAAAAAAGTGCTTGAATAAAAAATAAAACTGCGTGTGAAGAAGCAGAAATGAATGAGAACTCTTCAAAGTCTTGACTGAAAAAGTTCAAAATTTTTCCCTTCGTTCAACTAAATAGTATTATAGTTTACTAGATGCAGTTTTTCACGCTCATTCTGAATATGTACACATTAAATAAAAAAAGATGATTTTTGGATGCGAAAAGCGTGTTTTTATCTGAAAAACCGAGGGATTTTCAAAACTCTCCCCATTATTGCAGTTCGGTTTTGGCGGCTATTGGCTAATATCATAAGTGTAGGAGGTCATAAGGTTCATTTTAAGGAAAAAATAAAGGTTCTGTGAGCTGCGCCAACTTGCGCCAGCTCTTTGTACTGAGCTCACATTTTGCCATTAGATAGCCCATTAGTTGAAGTATATAGAACGATCTTCAAATTGACAAAAAGTAAACTTCGAGTATTTGACCAAATTTCCGCCTGGCTGTCCAACGTGCGTGCTAGGACAGTATGGAGACCAAACCCACAAAGCTCAGTGAGCTGGATCAAATGTTAGAACGTTGGAAAAGTGCACCTTTTTAGCTTTTTCAGAAACAGATGTTCCTTTAAAATTTCGAATAGAACTAACACACGACCTTGAATTTGCTTTCGAACAAAAGATCAGCACAAGTTCTGGGTATGTAAGGCGCTCCAAATTCGACGAAGAAGTACTATTTTATTTTTGCTTTAAATATACCTCATTCGACTCAGAATTTTGCGCTGATCACGAATATCTTATTTAAAAAGTTTTCAGTGCACTTGTTCTGGAAAAAAACTTCAAAAAATTGAAAGCTGTCGTTTTTCCGAAATTTCGCTACATTTCGAAAAACGTTCGATATCTCAGCTCCACGTGGTCCTCGAACCTTCAGAAGGCATTTTTTGTAATCAGCGTATAGAGAAGTGTATTTCGAGGTTTCAAAGCTACGCGAAGCGTTCGAACTTTGGTCAAACCTCGGTCTTTGACTTTGATACCCTTCTATTGCAAACCTATCAGCGACCTCATATCGAACGATAAAAGCTTCATTTTTATACCATTCGAACCGTCTTGAAACATAGAACAAAGTTATAGATTTAGCTTTTTAATTTTTTCTTTTCCCTGCTGAGAAAATTCGACTTTTCTAAATCAGCGGCGAAAAAGTCGAAATTCTGCCCAGAATTCTCAATTTTCGCTATTTTTATTACATAGAAGTTGAGTTGTGATTGCGAAAATTGAGAATTCTGGGCAGAATTCCGACTTTTTCCGACAAGTGCACTGAAAACTTTTTAAATAAGATATTCGTGATCAGCGCAAAATTCTGGGTAGAATGATGTATATTTAAAGCAAAAATAATATAGTACTTCCTCGTTGAATTTGGAGCGCCTTATAATTTCGAAAACTTTTTAATCTTGCGA